AAAAGAGGGACTTCTACAGATGGAGGATCTAGACCACATCAGCCCCACCATGGTTGGTGCTCATGGTAAGAAAATTTATGATTATAGCACATCAAGATAGCCGGAAATGGCCCTCTCAGAATTTTTATCTCCATTTTACTATTCACTTGTTTCTTAACTGCTACTGTACAAACAAGTGCCAGGAACCAAGGCTCAAGCGAAAAGAAGGAGAAATTTTTAAGACACTTTCCATACTATGTAAAGCTGCATTCACACCCGATCGAACCAAAATTTGTAGAACGTTTTGATGCGCGTCTAGTACGCGCCTCTATTCTTTAAAACTGATTCGATTTTCTTTTGTGTTTCGTTTAGCCATACTAACCAAATTCGGATTCGGTGTGAATCTAACTTAAGGGTTATGATTACCTGTCTGTTTTTATCACACTGTCCTTTATGCAGCCTTCTGTTACTCTTTTTCATTTCAATATTAAACTCTGCACCCAACTATTTTGTTCTTTGTACAGTAGGTTTCTTTTATATTATTTTTGTTTCATTCAGTTCATGACAGCATGAGCGCTATATAAATTTTCACCCAAACCATTACCAACTCCTTACCATAACCAAGTATCTATGTTGTCTCCACAGATATCTGTATCGAAAGCGTTACAGTTTATGCATGCACACCTACTGTGTGACATTTTAACAAAATAATACTCAGGCGTTCTGGTTGGCATTCCAACCATAATAAATTCAAGTGCCACAGTAGTCACACACTGTCGCTAGAGCCTATTTTGATTATTTAAACTGTTTGTTTATATCAGGGAGTTGTTTATAACAACGTCCAGATTCCAAACTGAGTCTCATAAGAACACTGCTAATTTCAGAAAATGCCCACGTTCAACAACCTTTTTGCAGACATATGGCCTCCAACAATCAATATTTTACAACTTCCTGATAATTACAGAATTATGTCAACAATTTATTCTTTGACTTTCAGTGCACTACACAATGTCCACCCATTACTTTGTTCTCTTTGCAGATGTCTGTATCCAAAGCATTGCAGTTTATGGATAAAAAAGATCTTGAGTGTGCCATCTGCCTCAACAGGTTTCACCAACCAAAGACACTGAAATGCATGCACACCTATTGTCTACATTGTATCAAGAAATGGGTGGAAACTCATGGCAAGATGAAATGCCCAACATGTGGACAAGAACATGATTTAACAAAAGAAGACCTAAAAAAGCTGGCTTCCAATACAATGATAAGTCAACTACTAGAGTATGTCATGAAAATTGAGGATCAGAAACCGACTAAATGCTCTTTCTGTGACAATCAACCATCATACCACTGCTCAACATGTCAGCTGTATTTATGTGGAGGCAACTGTATCAAACAACACAAGGCCGTACCTTCCACTAAGCATCATCCACTTTACACATTAGACATAAAGGAACAGGAGGGCAATCAATGTCCAGCTCACTGCAACAACACACTAGAATTTTACTGCACTACTTGTAACAAATCTGCATGTAAGCAATGTGAACACATTTTTCACTGTTGTCAAAAACAACATGAAGTGATTCCAATGTCAACTGCTGTAGATGAGTTTAACAAAGATGCCAATGAAATTTTTAAGTTAGCTCATGAAATTGAAAATAAATTAACAGAAAATCTACAAATTTTAACTAAAGACAGATTACAATTTGATTCCCAAGTAAAGTTATGCAGAACAGCCATAGAAATTCATGAAAAGAAACTTATCAAGAAAGTTCAAGAGAAAAGCAAAGAATTAATATCTGACCTTGACAATATATACAAAACAAATAAAAGAAATTTCGATAGTGAAATTAATGATATTGATTCAAAGATGACTCAATTAAAGAATCTAATAGTTTCAATCAATTCAATAATGAACAAACCAGAAAAAACAAAAACTCTTTCATCCAAAAAGACAACTATAAAAGCTGTTAAAGACAAGGTCCTAGGAACTGATTTTGAACAATCCTTTCAACAGAGAAATATCAAACCAAATTGTATTCTATCCATGCAACTGGATGAGTTGATGAATACCGATGGCATTGGTAAAATCACAACTGCTGATAGCATGACATACAATGTTGCTGAAGATGATGAACAAATTACTGTGACAAAAGGTCAACCATTTGTAGTGAAAGTATCAAGTCCAACAGAAACTAAACAATTAGTTGCAACACTACTGAACTCATCAGGTGAAGAATCAGCAACTCAGATAGAATATCAGGAAGGTAAAGAGTACAAAATAACAGGTAGATGCAATGTGGAAGGTAGTTGGAAAATGAAGATCACAGTTGGCGCTGCATACATCAAAGGATCTCCAGTGAATATCAAGGTAGAAACACTGGGACTTGTTCATACCATTGATAACATATCAGATTATAAAGAACATAATAAAACAGAGACTGTGACAGATGTAACGTTAGATAGAGATGGATGCATATTAGTATCAAGCTGTAGTAAAGATATATTGAAATTCAACCAATCCGGTTCATTTGTTGCTAGGATACAGGTACCACAAGATTTTAAGATCACTTTCATGCATCCAACAGGTGATGGTCACATATTGTTTAGTGATGGATTAGAAAATCGTGTTGTAATGTGTGATTATAAATTTCAAGAAGTCCGCTCATTTGGTAAAGGGATGTTGGAAGATTCAGGTCGCTTGACATTCAACAAGGAAACTAGAGCCTTGTATGTTGTAGATTTTTGTGCTCACTGTATTTATAAATTCAATGTTGATGATGGTAGACATCTTGGTACATTAGGTTCAAAAGGTAATGGAGTGGGTCAAATGCTGTACCCAACAGATGTTGCTTTGACCAAGGAAGGTCATCTGATTGTTGCTGACAATGGAAATCAAAGGATACAGATGTTTGATGCAAATGATAGGTTTATGACAACTTTGATACACAGTGGTGAGGAAGATGGTGAACTTGATGATCACAATGATGAAGATGGCGATGAAGATGGTGATGAAGATGGCGATGAAGATGGCGATGAAGATGGCGATGAAGATGGCGATGAAGATGGCGATGAAGATGGCGATGAAGATGATGTTAGTAGTAATATACTCAGTGCTTCAGGTCCTATTGGTGTAACTATTGATTTTGAAGAAAATATTTTAGTATCCTCAATTAGTAATCAATTAAAATTATTTGATAAAAACGGTGTCTTCATAAAACGAATTGATCATGCAGATGATGGATTAGAATTTCCATGGGGAATCCATGCAATCTCCGTTAGACCAAGAAGAGTAGCAGTAGCAGACTGCAATGCCAACAACATTAAAATATTCAATTATTAAAATGACATTGAATTGCATGAATCATAACATCATAACAATGATCTATTTTAATACGTTTACATTAATATGATTGTTTTTATCATGGAGGTTATACATATATATACCATGGGGAATCCATGCAACCTCCAAGACACCAAGAGCAGCAGTAGCTGACTATAAGTGCAAACAATGTTAAAACTTTCAATTATTAAAATGACATTTAAATGCATGAACCATAGTAAGGAGTTTTCGATGGACGACGTTATCTTTAACGGATAACATCATAATTTATTCATCTTGCGTTGCGGAGTATGTTAATTTAAGAATTTTTACGTGGTCGATGTACGTTAGTTACGGGTTTGCGCATGCGTATTTTGATTTGTTTACAAAAGGGGCGGGGCTATCGCGCTGCATGTTGGGTACTAACATTAAAGTTAAGGTTAACGTCGTGCATCAAAAACTCCCTATTATCATTACAATGTAATATACATTTCATATCTATTGTGGTACATTTCAATATGATTATTTTTATCGTGTAGTTTATATGAGGCTTGTCATCCCAACTGTGTCTAATTGTTAAACTGAGCAACCAGCATCAAGAAAAGTCTCTTTAGCAAAGAGAATACGTATCTACTCATAACTTTAGC